TAAAAAAAAAAAAAAAAAAAAAATACACACATTATGTAGCCCTAGTGTTATGTATTGACAAAACATCGTTATTTTTGTTATAAAGTGATATAGTGTAAGATTTTTTATTTCTCTTTTATCTTTATTTATATACATCATTTTTATTTATGCATCTTGGTTTTTTCCCTCTCGAGTAGTAGTGTTCTCCCTCCTGTTGAAATTCGATTTTTGACGAAGATAAATCATTTATAGACTTTCAGATTTCAAACGCCTAAATTAGAGAGATTGCATCTATATATATATATAAGTAGAATTATTAGAGCAATAAATTTCTTACTTATTATTTTTCAGATGATTTTAAAAAAACAAATGTTTTCGAGTATACAATGTTTTTTTTTTGTTTATTCAGTAGCGAGAATAGAGAAATAAATTTATATGTTAATTAATGTATATAATTCATATAATATATATTGAGAGAATGTGTGATCTCTTTTTGTTTATTCGTACAATAGTATACATAAAATTTTTGTTTACAGTCGTAAACTTCCCGCGCGCGTTTTGGATAGTTTTTTTTTTTTTTTACTGTAAAGAGAGTAAATTTATAAACAAATGTTATTTGTCACTCTCGCACTGCCAGAGTATCAAGATAACAAATTTAAAAAATTTGTTTATTTGATCGGGTGCTTTATTTAAAAATTTCTTTCAATCTTTCTTTTTCCGTATTCGTATTTATTTTATTTGCAAACTTGTTAACAGTTTTAGTTCACAATCTATCTTTCTTCGGTTGAATTTTTTATTATAGCGTACTTACATATGATACATATTTCTTCCCAATATCAAACTAAAAAATACCTATTGCGGTATTGATACCTATATCCGTTACAATGTTTTATGCAATAACGCGTAGTGTTATATATCTAATCTAATTAGTAATTACCGCCTACGGATAAATAATATTCTGCAGAAAAGTCATTTGAAAAAAAAAAAAATTATAATAATAATAATAAATAGGGAACACGATCGCGAAGTGCATTTATAGTTAAAATATCGAAATGATTGCGAATAAATTTGGATATAGAGTTTTCTATATGTACATTCTTTCTATGTTATATACATATATACATATACACACACATATATTCACAATATTTCCTGTAATAATTGTTTTTTTCATGTTATATATCAATTGCAATCGGTGCAAAGTGCAACTTAATTTTGCAATATCACGTCTTAAAAATTGTTTAAATTTTTTGTCAATGTTTATAAGAGGTAAAACATCAATATCTGTATTAAATGTTGCAAAAAAGTATCGAATATCAATTATTGTCACAGCAGTTGCAAAATACACACAAGCGTAAGTTACGTATATATAAATTTTGCAAAAGCGCAATATCTCACGGTAATTATCTTAACGGACGACCGTTGCGTCGAGAAAAAAAATCTTTACATTTTATATAAGAGCAAATCGTATATTAATATACGATATATTTCAAGGATTATACAAATAAAAATTCTGCTGTTACCTAGAAATAGAAAGATGCAAATAATGAAACGTGCACTAGCATAAGCATATGTATACTTATGATTGAAAGAAAGGGACACGCCGTAATAAAACTTTGAAACTCCATGCACAGTGTACAATTGTTTTCTGGAAGAAAATTTAAAATCTATAGTTTATATATATATATAGTTGCTGAGACAATTTAAACATTTTGTGACTTGACATTTCACATATTGTTTGTTCAGAATTTACCTGCATTTTAAAGGTCTGTGTAAACACGATTAAAAAAAAAAAGAACTTGGTAAAAGATCTTGAAACTTTTTAAATTGCAAGGTTTGTTCTTTTTCGATTTGCACTCTCTCTTTATATATGTACACTGAGTTTAATAAGAGCAGAGAGAAGCCTGAGAGCGGCCAGGCCCATAAGAGTTTTTACGATCGCTATTCCGGCCCGTAAGCTAGCGCATGTCCATGGGTGGTGCACATTGGCAACTACGTAGCGATGTCCACGAGCGAGTTGTCGATACGTATGCTATGTCCACGCGTGGACATAGCATACGTATCGACAACTCGCTCGTGGACATCGCTACGTAGTTGCCAATGTGCACCACCCATGGACATGCGCTAGCTTACGGGCCGGAATAATGGTACCCAAAAACTCTTATGGGCCTGGCCGCTCTCAGGCTTCTCTCTGATAAGAGAGAAGAATCTGGGTGCCAGTACAGTCGGCGTCAATGGGTGCGTTCAGACAATTCAACGGTTGAAAGATTATCGCTTATGATAGGACTATTCTTCAAAATCTGCTGCGGTTCCAAAAGTATGATCCAATCAGAAGTGATTGGGTGCGTTCAGACAACTCGACGGTTGCACAACAGTTGAGAGATAATCACTTCTGATTGGATCATACTTTTGGAACCGCTGCAGATTTTGAAGAATAGTCCTATCATAATTGATGATCTCTCAACCGTTGAGTTGTCTGAACGCACCCAAAGACGCGAAAATTGGGTGCGTTCAGATAACTCAACAGTTGCACAACGGTTGAGAGATAATCACTTCTGATTGGATCATACTTTTGGAAACGCATTAGATTTTGAAGAATAGTCCTATCATAAGTGATGATCTCTCAACCGTTGAGTTGTCTGAACACACCCAAAGACGCGAAAATTGGGTGCGTTCAGACAACTCAACAGTTGCACAACGGTTGAGAGATAATCACTTTTGATTGGATCATACTTTTGGAACCGCATCAGATTTTGAAGAATAGTCCTATCATAAGTGATGATTTTTCAACCGTTGAGTTGTTTGAACGCACCTAATAAGTGTGTTCAGACAACTCAACAGTTGCACAACAGTTGAGAGATAATCACTTCTGATTGGATCATACTTTTGGAACCTTTGCAGATTTTGAAGAATAGTCCTATCATAAGTAATGATCTCAACCGTTGAGTTGTCTGAACGCACCCATTATAGTTCAGTGCTTTGAACACAGCCAGTGGTTTTAAAAGTAGTAGCCAATCACGTTCGAGTTCTACAAAACAGCTTGTTTTACTGAACGCAGCCATTTAAATAGAAAGTTTTGTGTAACGTACCTTTGTGTTGATACATTTGGCGGTTTCTAAGTTGTTATTGTTTGATTATATCTTTGACTATAGAAAAATTATAGGAGACAGAGGATTAAGAGGATTATCTATCATATTCGTGACTACTAAAAAAAAATCACATTTAAACATAATAACGTTTGCTTTATATATTGCATCTCTTATGAACATAAACGTTTTCGAAACCTTAGAATACACATTCCGATGTCTTCTCAGGACAGAAAAAACAAGTTAGAAATCTTGCAAGAAACTTATAACGAATTATATCGTTACTATACTCTGTTACGTTTGATTAGAGCTGATCTTGAAAAAGTAGCAAATAATTTTGCTGCTATAAAGGGTAAGTTTATAAACTTTTTTTGTATAATTCTTTTAATGTTACTTAACCCATTAAAAAATATTTTTTAATTACAGTAGATATGATCTACAATAATCCATTGCTTCAAAATTTCTTTTATTGCTTTAACTTTGTTATTTTATTTTCTAATTCAGCCTTTTATGGTTTTTAATTATTTACAGCTGTACAAACTATAATTATTTACTTCTTAATATTGGTATATTGGTAAAGAAATGATTAAAACTTTTTCTCTAAGCTCTACCGAGACCTTTATATGTAATATACTTTAATATCTTATCGCACTAGAGTAAAGGACATGTAAAATATATTTTGTTGATTAATTATTTAAACTAGTAAATTCAATTGTAACATCGATGAAATTTTACTTGATCTTCCTCATCTTTTTTACAATAACTAAATTTTGTTTTTCTTTTCAGAAGCGTGAGAATTTTGATTTGAGAACACAAATATATGAATACATATAAATAACAATATTTATATAAGATTTCTTTCGCAAGATACAAAAATGAATAATCCAAAAGTTAGTTCTCTGATGAATAATTCGCCAACATCTTCATCACCGCTGAGAAAGTCCATAAATGTTCGTAAGTTATCTTCAACAAACATATCGGAAAATGATGACGAGGCGGAACGTATATCTCGCCGACGCGTGCAAGCCACGTCTGTATCATCCGTCACTCCCAGTGGCAATTCCAACAAGAGACATTCTCTGAGTTCTGCATTCTTAGCCAATATTCCGGCATCGAAAATGGCCGAGTGTATAAACGAATGCATAAAACTTAGCACGGAAAACAAAATCAACACCAAGAACGCTTTCAGTCTGGAGATAATTGATTTTATGACCTACATGATAAAAAAACAAGACGCCAATATGTCGAGCCTGCAAGTGGCCAGCACGTCGTTGGACGTGAGTTCCAAGATTTATGGATTTCGCGTGGACAGTGTGCACTCGGAAATTTTGAAAATAATCGGCGGATTGGACAAACAAACGAACACCGAAGCCGAGAGCAAATCGGATGATGATGATGGAGAACTTGTTGACGAGGACGCGAAGGATAAAGAAGAACCGAGGAAAAAGAAGAAGAAGAAGAAACACGGCAACCGACAAAAGATTATCACAACAGCGGAGGCATTGGCGAGTCACGTTGAAGTTTTGAAACCGATGTCGATTACGTCGACGTGCGGCGATCAACAGACCAGCGACGTGCTGTCTCTGGCGTCGTTGCCGAATCACGCAACTTCCTGTTTCTACATACACCCGTACAACGACGTGCTCGTCGACGTCGCGGAGGATACCGCGGAATCGCAAAACGACACGGATATGAGATACAACGTATCGTCCATCGACGATCTGTCCAATTTAGAGATCTGTTTGCCGTATTCAAATTTCGAGTTCCTCAACTGGTCCGTGGACAACGAGCAGCTGGATACGGATACGGAAGAGGCCGAGGATTTGGAGAGCGACAACAGATTTCAGTTCGATCTGAACGCGAGCGTGGAACACGACGGCGACGATCCCGCGTCGGAACCGATGAATTATTTCGACATAGAACACGACGACGAGAACAAAGAGAATTACGCTCACGGATGTTACCGGCAATTGGCGAATCGTCCGAACGAGAATATCCGAAATGCCGTTCAGCCGCCGTCGAACATCACGTCCGAATATTCCTTCGTTCAGCCGAATTTAAGCTTGCACTGGGCCGGACCGTCTCACTGGAAGTTTCAAAATTTCGCGAGACTGTCCGCCAACAACACCGACAAGGTGACGGCGTGCAAACAGGGTCCGTTGCGAAAAAGAAAGGAGATCGAATTGTTTTATCGCGAAAACAACGACGCGATAGACGCGAAGTACGCGCCCAGTCACTCCAACAAATGGCCGAGCAAAACGGCCAAGGAAGAATGGAGCACGGAGGCGATTACGTTGCCGGAAGATGTGCATTACAATGTCAAACTGTTGTTCAAATTGTATCTGCACGAGAAGATATCGATGAACAACGAGAAGACGTGTAACGAGAGGAACGACGCGATTGCCTTGGACATATCGGGTAACGATAGATACGACTACGATAATCCGAACGACACGATGGAATATTGTCCCGATGTGAACAACGACGATTACGACGAGGTCGGCGCGGACGACTGCAACGTCGAGAACGACGCCAACACTCAGGGTTTGACCGGCGACAATTTGGTCGCCGCGCCTAAACTAGCCAACAAGATACCGATTACGTACTGCGTGAGAGCGAAGAAGATCGATATGCGACAATTGAAAAAATCTATATGGATGTCTTTGAATTCGAAGACCGACAACGCGGACGTAGCGAGGGACGAGGATGAAGCGGCTACGATGAGAACGAGCAAACGGTTCAGCAACGTTTACAAAACTCTGCCGAAATTGTTAACGAAATCCAACGCGGAAGCGTTGAGCGCGCCGATGGCCTTCTTGTCTCTGTTGCATCTGGCAAACGAGAAGGAATTGAACCTCTGCTCGATACCGGACATGTCCGACATCGTCGTCGCCGCCGCCGCGAGCTCGGAAGACAACGCAAACGTAGAAACGCAAAATAGAAGCGAAGAAAATATTCTATAGTATCGCGCTGATTATTGTAGATTATTTAAGCGTTTTTTTTGGTTGGTTTTTTTTAACAAATGCTTCTGCAGGAAGCCAGTTATAATTTTAAGGAATATTAAACAAATCAAATCAACGCTCGCAATAACAAATAATAAATAAGATAATAAGGTCAATCGAGCTAAAATACTTAGGTGTTAACAAAAACTTTTTTTAATATAACAAATAATTAATAACGTTTCAACAACTTCAGTGTGAGAAAAAATATATAAAAAAAATGCAAAGTGAGTTTACATAACAATAATAATCAACGCAACAAATACATTAGAAAAGATGTAAATCAAGAAGGAAATAATGTAGTTTTTTAGTCTCACTCGGAATGCAGATCATCCTTGAAAATGTCAGTTTGTAAATTTGTTGATGAGTGTAACAAAGTTTATGTTGAAAATTTGAAAGTCAAACAAATTTTTTGTTAACACCTAAGTATTTTAGCTCGATCGACCTTATTATCTTATTTATTAAGGAATATTATTATAACTCGAACAATTTGCTTGTGATATAACAAGCGATAGTTTATTTATCCACAGTTTTTTTTTAAACATGAGAGAAATGTTTTTTTAAACATTCTTTTTAAATTTTTGTTTTTTCTTCCATTTTTTCATTACATATCTCTTGGCGATGCGATCAATTTTTTTATTCTGTTTAATTTGCGTCGACTGTACGCCGCACTTAGGATTAACCGTCGATAAGTTTAAATATTGTATTTAAAAAAAAGAAAACACCGCAAATTTAATAATTAGCATTTTTTAAATTTTATTATAAATTTCTTCAACTTGTTCCTTTTGACGTTCAAGTTTTTATAGAAATGTGTCTATCTGTACATTTGTGTGCACAAAACTTTTTGTAAAAAAAATAGTAGACGGACGGAAGCAGGGACTTATACCGATATGCAAAATACCGGTATTTTACCGATATTAAAAATCGGTTAAAATACCGGTATTTTACCGATATTTTGGGGTAATACTATGAAAACTACCTACTATGCAAACCGAAATGCAGAAATACCGGTATGACGTCATACCGGTATATTTACCCATATTTACCTATATTTACCGATAATTTTTTCGTGATTTTTTAAAAGTAATATCTTAAAACTATAAGTGTTGTCATTATGTTGATAACACTTTTTAATAATATAATGTTTATAAAAAAAACTGCCGCACACAGAAACTTAATATTATTTAAATTATTATTATTTTTTTATATAATTAAGAACGGTAACAATAATTAATATAATTAAGAACGGTAACAAAATACACATAGACATAATTTATCAATATCCAAATTTGTTAAAAATTTCACTTTACATTAGTCACGCTACGTAATAAAAGAAAGCATGAATGAAACAGCTGCTTCAATTGGTTTATAAAAAAAAAAGCGTCTTTATATTTTGTCGGTCTATAAGTCCAATAAGCGGTAGAGAAGATTAATTATGCAACAAAAATTGCTTTAATTAACTTATCTAATTTTTAAGAATACCATTAGTAGGAATACCGAAATAATAACCGGTATTTTATTACGGTTTTCGGTACTACAACGGTAACGGTATACAATCTCTAGTATAATACCGGTATTGAAATCATACCGGTAATAAGTCCCCGGACAGAAGTATATATATATAAGATAATATTTAGTTTATTTTTGTACAAGAAATAAAAACTTTATTACATACTTCGAACGTTCTTGTACTTTTTTTCCCTTTTATTATTCGTCCCAAGGTATTTCTTCTTTGCAAACTTCACGTGTTCAATCGCGGATCGCTTGTTTGCCTCATCTGTCGCGTAAATTGCAACAAATATTCTTCGATATTATTATTATTTTCATTTTAATGTTTTCGACGAGGTTAAAAAAAGTTTATTTTTTTTTTTTTTTTAATTTAATGTCTCACTGAGATTAAAAACAACAAAATTACAATTGTTCGGTCATGGCTGTGTCAACAAGATATTTTCCCAATTTGTTGCAACAATGTAAACGCTATCCCGTTCTTGTGCGTTGCGAATTTTCGAAAGGGACGAATGATAAAAAAAAACACGAAGAGGTTGACAAAGAGAATACGAAAAGATCGATAAAACAAGAAGAATACCAGAACAAGATGCACGATGCGCAAAAAGATCGGAAACCTAACATAAGAGTGTGCATTATTGGCGGAGGAGTGACGCCTCTTTATACCGCGGTGCTTCTGAAACAATATCAAAATATTAAAAACATACATTTGGTAGACACGAGAGACACCGTGCCGGGAGCAATGGCGAGCGTGTGTCACACGGAAACTTATCCTCGCATTGATTATTTTCGACGGAAAGACATAAAGGAAGCCCTTAAAAAAGTAAGAATTATTTACACCGAAAAAATTGTATTCTTGTTTTGAGGATATCCCACTTACTTTAAATATATTTTATACTAAAATAGGCGCCAAGAAGAGTTTCTTATTTTAAGAGGAAAATCCTCTAAATAGTAATATTGATAAGAATATATACTGATTAG